CCAGCTTGTGCCCCAGCCTGCGCCCCAGCCTTCACCCCAGCCTGCATCCAGCCCCCCCCCCCGCCCCCCCCCCAGCCTCCACCCCAGACTGCACCCCAGCCTCTGCCTCAGCCTGCACCCCAGCCTTCATCCCAGCCTCCACCCCAGCCTGCACCCCAGCCTGTACCCCAACCTCCACCCCAGCCTTCGCCCCAGCCTGCACCCAGACACTGTGCTTACTTGCGCATTAGCTTCTCCACCTCGCGGTCCTCTTCTTCCTGGAGTTTCTGAATGAAGCTCTTCAGGACTGGCATCTCGAACTTTATGTACTGGGCCACCTGGGGAGGGCGAGCACACCCCGCTGTTATAACATCTCTCTGCTACCACTCTCCTCCAGGCACAAAGCCGGCAGAAATCTATGCTCCCACTAACCCAGGATCCCTCAAAGACTCAGTCAGGTCTCATTCCACCCGGGTTGGTCAAGCGTGCACGGAGAGGCCTGCGTTTGCACGACCCCACCTTGTGACTTTCCAGTTTTTCATTTCGCTATTGTGAGCCACAGCTCTGGCGACTTCAAACGGAAAAGCACTTTCCTTCCACATATTCAGAGACAGAGCTCTGAGGCCGGGAGTGTAGCTGGGGTGTAGGGGTGCTCTAGGTTCCCCCCTGGGGCTGGGAGGGTGGAGGTGGGCTGCCTCTGCCTTTCATCCCCAGAGCTGCAACAACACAAAGACCGAAAAAATGGCCTTAGTAAACTCCCTTGTTCTTCCCAGGGGGGTATGAAGAGTCATCAGAACCCACACTCCCTTCTCTGGTCTCTGGGCATCCAATAGGAACTTGCTTGGAGGAAGTGACTGGCTCAGGGGGCTGAGGAGGCGGAACCCTGACCTACTCTCGGCCCTCCTCCTGCCCATGTCAGCTTCACTGGCTGTCTTGTGTGCGTTTCCACGGGTTGGATTAGTCTCTTCTTTAAAAAAAGTTCACAGACCTACATGTGTGCAATGTGTGTGTGCATGTGTGGGATTACAGGTGCTCAAGTAAATGGCCTGCACGCTGTGGCGTGCAGGTCAGAGGAAAGCCTTACCTTTGACCTTGCTGGAGACGCAGTCTTTCTGTGCACCTGACAGGGTAGGTGGCCTGAGAGTCTCCTGCCTCCACCTCCCATCTTATTACAGAAATTTAAATTACAGACATATGCTACACCTCAGTATATATGGGTCCTAGGGATTCGAACTCAGGTCCTCATGTGTGTGTACCTCCTTACCCATTGGGCCATCTCCCCAGCCTCTGTACTAGGTTCTTATGCTCCAACCACCTGCCCAGCAAGCCACTGCTCTTCAGCCTGGTCTATAAGATACAAACCCACCCAGAGCCCAGCACAGAGTTGCTGCTACCTTCTAGCAGAACCAGAAGAAAAACCATGAATGTTATAAGGCACTTGGATTTGGAGGTGTGCGTTACTGTGCCAACTAACATCGGAGGAAAGAAATTCCTTGCTGAGCTCTCGGTGTTGCAAGCGTGCTTTCCAAATCCTCAGAGCCCCCCAGCACTCTGGGGTGGTTCCAAAAATTCATTCCTCTAATAATCCCCACACGGCCCGCCTTCAACAGAAGCTGATATTAAAGAATGGTAGCCACAGAGGACAGTGTTATGGTCAAAACCTCATGCTGTAACCCAGTAAGTCTCCTCCCACCCCACCCCCCGGCCCACCCCCACCACTGAGGACAGACCAGCCAGCAAAGGGGCTGACATCACAGGTGACTCCTCCTCTCACTGATGAGCACAGTCCACCCAGCAAAGGGACTCACATCATAGGTGACCTCCTCCACCTGGTCCTTCTCCATCAAGAAGACCTTGGAGATCTGCTCACATGGACCCTGGAGGATGCGGGCAATCAGCGGGTAGTCCGAGTTCTTCAGCTTCTGCTTTTCTGAAAGCAACACAACCGGGGTAGCCTGAGCTCAGCCTAAGACCTTTCTCCCTGTGAGTGGTGGGCAACTCAGGGGTCCAAATGGGCCAGATACCTCAGGAGACACAGCTGCACAAGTCAGACTGTGTTAGGACAAACTGTTCCATGTCTTTCATTAAAAGTACCCCTCACCACCACCCCCCCCCACACACACACAGACACTTTCATGCCTCAGACCCTCTGGAAGATGCCACTCGGGAGGAATCAGGCATCTGCCTCTGGAGAAAATCCAGCTCATTTTTTTTAATAGGCAGTTAAGTTTGGGGACCTAGTGTTTTGCCCACATGGCATTCCCTTGGGGCACCTTCCTGAAAGCCCACCAGGCTTGGGGACAGACAACATTTGGAACTTTAGGAAATCTCAACAACAGAATAGAAGGATTTGTTGCTGCTGCTGCTGTTGTTTTCTTAACTTGCTATTTTGAGTTCATTGAAGGATTTCAAGTGTACTGTGCCCTTCGGACTCACCACCACTGGTATGGACCACGTAGAGAGCAAACTCCTCTGCCGAATTCTCGATCTGAATCAGGAGCAAAAGAAACTCAGTGAAACATCCCAGCCTTGAGCCATTCCCTCTACCGCCACTCTGCGAAGCCAGGCCCCAGGCTTCTGCAAAGCAAGGGCCTTGTATTTACAACCAAGGAGGACACGTCACAGGCAGGGAACTGTCAGTCATGCTAGGTGCAGCCAAGCAGCTTTCACCCGCAATGTTCAGAAGATGTAGTTCAGGTTTCAGAGATTTTTAGGTTTTTGAATTTCGGCAGAAGCTTCGCCAGCTTCGCCTCCTTTCAACAAAACCTGAGACCTGAGATGATGTTGTGTCATTGCTCAAGTCTAACATACACCAAATGTAAGGCCCACACACTTAACGTGTGCTCACGTATCCCATGCATAACACACACACACACACACACACACTACATAGCACATTCGGTAACACGTGGGCGCCGTCCTCCTTCTACAAATAAGGAAGCTGGAGCCCAGAGAGGTTAAGACAACTTGTCCCACTCAGCGCTCCGGCAGGTGGTGCATGGGGACTAAAACTCAGAGCCTAGGCTTCACTGGCTTTCACGAAAAATAAGATATAATAATAAATAAATAAATAAATAAATAAACAAACAAATAAATAAATAAATAAATATAAAAATAAATAAGGCAGTAAGATGGCTAAGTGGGCAAGGGTGCTTGTTACGTAAGCCTGACGACCTGAGCTTGATCCCTGGAACCTGTACAAAGGTGGGAACTCCGCAGAGTTGACCCCTGACTTGCACACATGCACCTCAATACACACATCATGGGCGCACGCATACACAAACAATAAATAAAAACTTAAAACACAGGAATATAAGGGCTGAGGGTGTTGTTTGTCAGTGTGAAGAGTTGGATTTGAGTTCTAGCACCACACACACACACACAAAAAAACCATATAGATAAATAAAATAAACCATATAGATGAATATAAAGTATAGATAAATAAAACTGGGGGGGGCGGCGCACTGTAGGCTAATGTCTACAGTCCCAGCCAGTCAGGAGGTTGAGAGCATAGGATCACTTGAGCCCAGAAGTTTGAAGCCAATCTGGGCAACACAGTGAGAGTTCATCTCAAAAAAAAAAAAGTGAATAAATAACACTTGGTGGGTTTTTGTTTTGGGTTTTTCTGTTTTCTTTTTCAAGACAGGGTTTCTCTGTGTAGCCTTGGCTGTCCTGGAACTTGCTCTGTAGACCAGGCTGGCCTTGAACTCACAGAGATCCACCTGCCTCTGCCTCCCTGAGTGCTGGGATCACAGGCAGGCACCACCATGTTAATCGAGGTGGGAAGATCTGCTCCCTGTGGGTGGCACCATCCCCTAGACAGTGGGTCATGGGTTGTAGAAGAGAAGGGAAATGGCAGCCCCCACCCCCACCCTGCCTACGCTGCTGTGAGCCAATGGAGAGAACTTGCCTTAAACTTGTTGAGGAGCAGCTTCAGGACCTGTGGGGTGGTCATGGTGCTGTTGATGCGGACGTTGGTGACAGAACCGTAGGCTGGCGTGAACACTGAAGTCTGTCAACAGAGGGGTGCGGCTTAGGGGCGGAGTGGGGACAAGGGCCAATGATCTGAACCCAGTGGGTAAGGGGCACAGTGACAACAGCACTCCAGATGTGCTCGAGGAAAGGCCCCTGACGCTCTGGCCAGCCTCAGGCTTGACTGTAGACCAAGCGGTCCTCAGGGTTTGGCCAGCTCAGACTCTGCACCGCCAGGAATTTTGGGTCTGAGCCCCAAAGAGCAGGATTAGAGTGGAGATGAGAACAGATAAACAAAACAGTCATAAAAACCCTTCCCTTGAGAGACCAGCCTCCCACAATACATTCATGCAGGAGGGTGGTCTCCGGCCACCTGCCCCACATGCACTTGCTTCTGGTGGGGCTGAAGCAGCAGGAAGAAAGGAAGAGTTAACTAGTTTGGGGTTCCCCAGGTGGCAGTGTGCTGAGCTGAGACCTGCAGCTTTGCTCAAAAATAGTCATCAGTGCGGGTCAGACGGCAGAAAGAAAGGAGTAAATCGCCGTGGTCCATTTTCAGGGGTGCGGTCGCAGCTTGTCGGAGGATCGCAGAGAAGTGGGAGGTAGCGGCACGGAGCCTTTGACCCCTGCAGCTGGCAGCCCCTGCTTGCTTAACTGGACGCTTGAAGCACCACAGGCAGTCTGCCCCATGACTGAGCCCATGGATCGAAAAGGAGGGAAATCCAAGCCCCAGGACAGAAATTAGAAAAGTACTTGTACTTTCTTGTAGTGGGACTGAGTCCGGGTACTCTTATTATGAAGTGAGGATCGCTGCTTCTGCCAGTCAGGAGGAAAGCACAGGGTGAGGTCAGAGGTAGGAGCAGGAATTAACTACACAGATTGACCTGCTGAGGCAAGGGGCGGGTTCCTGGTGCTTTGAAGGTTAAATCTGATTCATCCAGGCTACTGGAATCTCCCCCAACTAGTGGGGACTATTCCTCACCTGAAGCCCGGTATCTCTCAAGGCAGCAAAGCTGCTCTGCCACTCACCACGCTCAAGCTGAACCAACATGCCTGGCTTCCCAGCTGCGCCCAGAGGGACCGCACAGCACTGAAGCCGCAGCCACCAGGACGTGGTGACATCCCCGGAGGTTTTTCCTCCAGGAGCCCGTACCTTGTGGTTGTAGAAATGGCCATTGATAGAGAAACGATGGCGCCTGATCTTCCGCTGGTCACTGGATGTCCTCACATTGCCACGGCGACGCACCCCAACATCACTGCGTGTGCGCATCAGCTGTGGGGTGTCCTCTTGCACGGGCTTCAGGCCCCTGGAGTCTGGGAGGAAAGGGAGAAACGAGCTTTGTTGCCTGAGCCTGGTTCCCCTTGAGGCCGACGCTATGACACGCACTGTCTCTCTAGAAACACACTTTATAAAAATGATTTTCTGCATAATTCACTGAGGAGTAACAATGCATAGGTTGCTAGTACAGGCCGCAGAGCCGGCTCCTCGGGCTCGGATCCCAGCTCTATCCCCACCGTGTTTCCCTGGCCTCCTGGTCTTCTGAAGGGGTGACAGGCGCCTTGCAGGGTCATAGTGAGCAGTTAAGTAAGTTAACACACATGAGGAGCGCAGCTCCTGGCTCAGGCTAGGCAAGACCTCAGGGCTGCAAACAAGCTGCCACAGGGCACCGCATGGACAGACCTCGAGGTCTTTCCCTGAGTTGGAATTGGCCAGTCAAAATGTGTACTTTTGTGAGTCAAATCAGGTGAGGTGCTCGGCACAGACAAAGCCACAGAGATAGGAAGTCAAACAGTGGCTGCTGTGGGTGAGGGGACTCTGGAAATAGAGCCGCTGCCAAAAGCTGCCACTTGTGTGGAGGGAGGACCAGAAGGAGCTGGCTGACTCCAGGTGGTGGCTTCGGGCCATCTGCTTGGGTTTGTGTGAATTTGCATGCATTTGCTTGTTTCATCACAAAGGATGTTGCAGCTTGCTTCGAGGGAGGGAAACTGAAGGGGAGGAGGTGGGAGATTTTAAATCCTTTCCTTTTGACGTCTTAAAAAGATACTGGGATTTTATATTTATACCAGAAGTCACAGGCTAAAGCACAGCAGTTGTGACCCCGCTGGCCGCTAGCAGGAGGTGCCTCTGCCGCTCACATACCTGTTGGGCTGAGTGTCTCGCTGCTTCCAGCTGGCGTATCCACTTCTGAAATCTGCACGGTGGGCATGGAGAGGGGCTTCAGGGTGGTGCTGGGGGTGGCAAACAAACAGGACAGGCTTGTTAAGATCCCGAGAGGGCAGGTCCCAATCTATGGCCCCCTTCCTGCGATGGAGCTTTTACATACGCCATACAGAAGAGCACTAGCACACATCAGGCAAGCAAGAGGCAGGCAATCTAAGCTGAGCATCCAGGAGGCTGGTCCAGATCCTAGTCCACGTGTCAGATGGAGTGGGGAGCTCAGGAGAAAGATATTCTGCCCCCACCTCTGCACAAGAACCTAATTCATCAGACCCAGGAGGGAGAAACCAGAAGCAAGCCTGTGTGTGGTCTACAGAGTCTCAAAGCACATGTCGGGGTCTTATGATTCATTTTCTTGGGACACAGTTCCAGGCTGGGTTTCTTTCTGTTAGAGGACTATCTCAGAAACCGTCTCTGGCATCTACCACTCAGGAGTGATGAATGCTCTCCGGGTTGCAAGCTGGAGAAAGGACCGCCACAGGTCAGCTGAGCTGAGACTTGGGTTTGCTGTGGTGAAGGAGAAAACTTTGTCAAGGCCCCAAAGAGCAATGGAGGCAGCTCAGAAAAACACATCCAAAACCAGCGGGGGGGGGGGGGGGGGGGGGG